TTTCGATTATGGCATTTTGTTTCCTGCATTTGATAAAGGAAAAGAATGCAAGTTAGTGGGATACACTGATTCGAGTTGGTGTAGTGATGCTGAAGATCGAAAGTCAACAGCAGGATATGTGTTTATGCTAGGTGGTGCAAAAATTGCTTGGAGTTCGAGAAAGGAACCAGTAGTGGCATTATCATCATGTGAAGCAGAATACATAGCTGCTTCTCTTTGTGCATGTCAAGCAACCTGGATGGTGAACTTGGTCGAAGAGATAACAGGGAAAAATCATGGAGCAATTACCATGAAGATAGACAACATGTCAGCTATCAATCTGACAAAGAACCCAATAGCTCATGGTCGAAGTAAGTACATCGAAATGAGGTTCCATTATCTTCGAGAGCAGGTAGCAGATGGGAAGATGAATTTGGAACACTGCAGAACTGAGAATCAGATTGCAGACATCATGACAAAGGGAGTGCAGGTCGAAGTATTCAGAAAGTTAAGGGCCATGATGAACATAGACAGTTTAGACACAATGAATTAGGTGGTGTGTTAAATTGTAATTCATATGTGTCAAAAGAAGATTTGATTTGTTTAGTTTAAATAGATTTGAATTTAAATCTAGATTAGATTTGATTTAGTAAAGAGATATTTTGGGCTTGGGTTTAGCTTAGGGAGCAAGCTAACCTAAATCTATAAATAGAGGGAGTAACCCCTATTTTTGTAATCAAGTCATTCACAGTATTTTGCAGTTGCAAAGTGAAGAATAAAGATTCCACAGTTTGTGGGCAGAAGAGAAATTCTGCAGAAATATTTCTAGTGTTCTTTTTATTTGTTTGTCATAACTAATCATCAGTGGTGGTCGAAATTCATCATAAAGTATTGGTGGATTTCCAACAGAAATCACTACCTCTTCAGACATGTTTTTGATACATCTTTTATATTTCCACTTGTGTGCAACAATTTAATATTCCTTAGCATACCCTTTAATTATGGTTCCATAAGTGATAACATTAGGCTCAAAGCCGTCTTGTATCAATCTTTTGAAGAACTTCTCTGCACCCTCCATGTTAGAAGCATTAACATATACTAATAACATGGTAGTATATGAGCAAAGATTTAGCATGTACCCGCACGAAAATGTAAAACGAAAATTAAGGTATCATAACTCATTAGACCTTGATCTTGAATGTTCAAACTACATGTGCTTATCTTTGATAACGTAAAATTTCATGATTAATCTTTATTTTTGCAGGAGGTGAAGGTCTCCTCCATTAAAAGCAATGCTTTGTGTGTTTTGCTAACACTAGAGAAGCTTTATGCAACATTTGATGTCCCCCAAATAAAGATGTAGTTAATTTCAATCAATGTGTTTGGTTCATTTATTTGTAAGCATATATGTTGTGTATCAGTCTCTATCAGTTGGTTTAATAAGACGTTGGTACCTTCCTTCCTTGGATTCTTAATTCGATGATGTAGATTGTATGAAATGCATGCTCCAAGAAGCAACAACTAGCTATGATTAAATATGATAGTCCACACTAAGAAATCTCGCACTCCCACTTGCTCATGAAGCAAACCCAATAAAAAGCCCATTGACACTGAGCACGCACAGTATCGATCTGAAAATTTTCAATAATATCATATACTCAATCTACTGCTGCAAGCTAGCCACAGAAACCTGAGAGAGAAAATATGCTTTTCCTTCCACATTTTTTCAAAGTTCAAAATCCCAAATGATATTCCAAAGCCATCATTATATGTGCATGACTTGTGAATTCCTTAGCCTAGATGTTCAATATAAGGAGCTAATAAAGGGCTTAGGAAATGGCCATTGATACATATATTTTACATTATTTAATATTTAGACATTGATCGCAATTATGATTTCAAATATTTAACATATATTTTCTGAGAAAAAATATGTTATATCATTGAATAAATAGTTTAACTTATATTTTCATAAAATTTTATCAAAATATAGTTTAAATTATATCGTAATATAAGTTTATAATAAAATTTTAGTGTATTTAATTCATAAGTAAAATAGTTTAAAAAATATGTTATTAGTCTAATTATATGTCAAATATTTATAAGGGTTAGATCAAATGTTTATATGGATCAGGTCAAATTTATAAATATTTTTGTAAAGGAATATGAAGTTGTTGATCAAAATATTGAATATTAATAAATATTAATAAAAATATGAAGTTACTGATCAAAATATTGAATATTAACGAGAATATCAGTTTACTGATCAAAATATTGAATGTTAATGGAAATATGAAGTTATTGATCAAACTATTGAATATTAACGAGAACATGAAATTACTTACTAAAATATTGAATATTAACGGGAACATGAAATTACTGATCAAAATATTAAATTATCAAAATATTGATATTAACGAAAATATAAGGTTACTGATCAAAATATTGAATATTAACGAAAACATGAAATTATTGATTTAACTATTGAATATTAACGAGAACTTGAAGTTACTAATTGAAATATTGAATATTAACGAAAACATGAAATTATTTATCAAACTATTGAATATTAACGAGAACATGAAGTTACTAATCAAAATGTTAAATATTAGCGGGAATATTAATTTACTGATCAAAATATTAAATATTAATGGAAATATTAAATTACTGATCAAAATATTAAATATTAACGGGAACATAAAGTTACTAATCAAAATATTGAATATTAATGGAAACATGAAATTACTGATCAAAATATTAAATATTAATAAAAATATTAAATTATTGATCAAAATATTGAATATTAACGAGAACATGAAATTACTGATCAAAATATTGAATATTAACGAGAACATGAAGTTACTGATCAAAATATTGAATATTAACGAGAACATGAAGTTACTGATCAAAATATTTAATAATAACAGAAATATGAAATCTCTGATAAAAATATTGAATAATAACGAGAACATAAAATTACAGATTAAAATATTAAATAATAATATAACAACTTTATTATTGGTTTAAATATTTTTGATAATAATTCCAAAACAAAAATAATATTTATAAAAAATATATATATAATTGAGTCAAATATTTTTATATATTGAAAAAATTATAGACACTGATTTATTATCTCTTTTCAAAAAAATTTATTTTATTTATTATATTTTGGGAACAAATGCGCGTACATATCGATACCCGTGCGACCGTACGAGTAGTTTGTTAAAATGATTAAATAGTTGAAATTAAAAAAATAATAATAAAGTCTATGGTGAACACTCAACAATATTACCTCACATAAATCAAAACCAAGCCGAACCGAATCAAAACCGCAAAAAATCGTATTTAGTTCGGATGTGTTTGAGTCATTTTTTAACGGAACCGCGCGATTCTGTTCGATTTGCGGTTTGTATTTTATAAACCAAACCAAACCAAACCGCATTATGTTATAAAATTTTACTAACCAATATATATTTCTTTAATTCTTTAGAGAAATCAACATGTATTATGTATATATTTTATCATATTTTGTATGATATTTATTTTAATTTACAAATCATAAAAAATAAAATATTATTCATTTATAAATATTATTTTCACAAAATATATTTTATCATATTCTTTGTATAATATTTATTTAAAAATGCAATTTTGTCTATATCACTATTTAGATTTAGATAAAATTATAATACGCAATTTTATGTATCAAATTATAAACTTATTTTGACAATTATAAATTTTTTATGGTAATGTATGAACAATTAAACATAGAATTATATTTTCTTCTATATGTGTATGTATGGCTTAATAATTTTTTTTTAATTGTAAAAATCGAACCAACCGAACCAATCCAAACCGCATTAGTTTGATTTGGTTTGGTTCGGATTTATTTTTAAAAGTCAATCGAATCAAATCGAACTACATGTTTTTTTCTCTTGCAGTTCGGGTGATTTTTTTACTTTAAAACCGCTCAAACCGCACCACAAACACCCTAACAAAAAGACCAAATTGGTCCGTTCAATAGTTTTTGAGAAACTAAAATGTAACGTTTATTAAATAAAGGACTAAAATGAAATCTTAAATTAAGTTAAATGAGTTTAAGACTATTTAAATCAATAATATATTAATTAACTTGCATAATCAAGTAGTTAACTATTTTGCATCATTTTATATTCAAGTGATTAATAGAAGCCGTAGACTTAGTCATACTTAGACCACCTCCAACGGGAGGTTTCTCATGTTGGTTCTCCAAGTGACAATGTTTTTTCTCTTTCCTCCAATGTTCCAGCTGGCCAACGGATTAAAGCACTCAACGGTTTTTATTTTATTTTTAATATTTTAAAATTCAAAGCAGCAGCCAAGTAGCCGTTGAACTGCTAGTTAATTTAATTTTTTAACTTATTTTTCAATTATAAATATAGTGTTTTAGGAAAAAAATTATCAACACCAATTTTCTTTCACTTTCATTTTCTCTTAAATTTCAAGTTTCTCTCTCAAAATTTCATCCAAATTTTCATCTTTTTACTTCAACTTAAAATTGTTTAGGCCAAATGGATCCTAATCATTTTCATTATCAACAAGCTATGTTCAATTACATGCAAAATAATCAAAATCCTAATTCTCAAAATGCTCAAATTCCATCAGTGTCAACAAACCCCGCCATATTTTTTCCGTCACCAAACAATCCAAATATGTTTCCTAGCCCTCAAATGAATTCTAATAGTATAGAATTTTTTCGTCATGAACCGGAAATATCGATTGGATTTATGTCCGGTTGTCAACTTCCACCCTTTTCTACTCAAGTTGGTGCTGAAAAAGAAAAAAGGGTTGACGTTAAAAAAAATCTCGAGAGCAATTTACAAGAGATGAGGATATACTTCTTATCCAATCATGGCTCAATGTTTCAAAGGATCAAATTGTGAGAGTTGATCAAAAGGCTGAGAGTTTTTAGGTAAGAGTCGTTGTCAATTATAACCAGTACCGTGGACAATCGCGGGAAAAGGTAGGGGACAATTAAAATGTCGATGCCATCGAATAAATGGCATGGTTCAAAATTTGTTGGGTGTTACAAACAAGCTGTTAATGGAAAGAAAAGTGGGACATCGAAGAACGATATCATGGCCTCTGCACATGCTTTTTTTGCTCAGGATCAAGGTACAACATTCAATCTTGAGTACGCATGGCGACTGTTAAAAGATGAACCTAAATGGATGGGAGAATCGATTGGAAGTTCTTCAAAAATAACAAAGACTTCCGCTAGTGGGGCATCATCGGAGAACCCAGATACACATTCAAGTTATGAGTTTAACTCATCATCACCAATGGAGCGTCCAATGGGACAAAAAGCAGCAAAAAGGAAGGGTAAGACAAATAACATTTCAACTGCAACGGAAGATGCAAGGAATAAAAGAACAACGGCAATGGAAAGACTAGCGCAATGTAAGGAGGACGAGATAGAAGTAAAGGTAATGCAAATCATGATGAAAGACACTTCTACTATGAGCGATAGTCAACGAGATATTCATGAAAAATATTGTAATAAGATGGAAAAAAATATGGAATGTAGTTAGTATCACTTATGTAAAATGGTCATTAGTACCACTTTAATTTATCAACACATATGTAAAATGGTCATTAGTATCACTTTAAATTATAATAAATATTACGTTATTCAAACTAGCCGTTATTCAAACTAACAGTTATTCAAACCATTATATATACTACCACTTATGTCATTGTTTTCTCATTCTCATCTTATTCTTTTCTCATTTTTCTCTCATTATTTACTCACTAAAATGGATTCAGACAATTCAGAGAATTACGATCAAGAATTTTAGGATTTGATTGAAGAAGAATTTATGGACGATAGTGATGAAGAACAACAGCTTCAGAATGAACGTCAATCTGGAAGTTCTTCTCGACCAAAGAGAAGAACAACGATAGATTGAGGCCGTGATGAAGGGCACAATCGATTATTCAATGACTACTTCTCGGAAAATCCAGTATACACAGATGTTCAATTTCGAAGAAGATTCAGAATGCATAGGCATGTATTTCTTCGAATTGTAGATGCCCTTGGAAATCATGATGAATATTTCCAAATGAGGGTCGACACAACTGGTAAAATGGGTCTTTCACGATTGCAGAAATGTACATATTATATTCGTACGTTGGCATATGGGTCTCCTGCTGACTTTGTAGACGAATATGTTCAAATCGGTGAAAGCACTTCAATTGAGTGCTTACAAAGATTCGTTCAGGGCGTGAATGTTGTATTTGGGGCTGAGTATTTGAGAAAGCCTAACAACACTGATGTTGAACATCTTTTACAAATGGGAGAGTCATGTGGCTTTCCAGGTATGTTGGGTTCCATTGATTTTATGCATTGGGAATGGAAAAATTGTCCTGTTGCATGGAAATGACAGTATTGTCGAGGTGATCATGGTAAGCCCACAATCATGCTTGAAGCAGTGGCATCACAAGACTTATGGATTTGGCATGCTTTTTTTGGTATTGCAGGTTCAAACAATGACATTAATGTGTTAAACCAATCCAACGTGTTTAACGATATTTTGGAAGGACATGCTCCCAATGTTCAATATACAATTAATGGGACACCATATAATATGGGGTATTATTTAGCATATGGTATATATCCTGAGTGGGCTACATTTGTCAAGACTATTTCAATGCCACAGGGAGAAAAGAAAAAATTATTTGCTCAACATCAAGAATCAGCTAGAAAAGACGTGGAGCGGGCATTTGGAGTGCTTCAATCTCGATTTGCAATTATACGTGGCCCAGCGCGTGCCTGGCACATGGAGACCCTCAAGCATACCATATATGCCAGCATCATATTGCACAACATAATTGTGGAAGACGAACGACATACATATGGAGGTAATTTTGATTACTCGTATGATAGTGTGGATAACAACAACTCAACAACTGAAACATTTAGCGGTCCTCATCCGAATCTTGCAACAAGACTACAAAGAAGAGCTAGTATTCGTGAAAAACAAGTTCATCGTCAACTTCAAGGAGATTTAGTCGAGTATATTTGGGAACGTTTTGGACCTGAAGATGATGAAATTTAAGTTTGATTAATTATGTGATGTTATTTATTTTTATTGTTTTTAATTATATGTCATGTATTTGAGATTAATTTTAATTATCATTTTAAATTATAAGTTTAATTTAAATTTTATTTATTTTATATCAATTTTAATTTAAATAATTAAAATTATTATTTAAAAAATATTAAATTTAATATGAATAAAATATTAATATATAAAGTAAAGTTGTGAGACCCAATATGAGTTCTTCAGAGTTGCACCATTGGAGTGAAAAACTAATTGAGTTGCTTCAAGCTGACATGGCTTAATAAGTCCCACAAAAAACCTAAAAATAGGTTCACGATTGGAGATGCTCTTAGAGTATCTCCAGCTGTCAGTTTCTTCTATGAGTTCACCACCTATCACATACTGGTTTTAAAAAGGTTTTGTTGAACATTGAGAGCCTAACAAGCGTTGCAATGCAACGGTTGTTTTGAATAAAAAAATTATAAATATTATTACTTTCATTTTTATTCTTTACTTTTTTATTTAATATAAATAAAACATTAATATATAAAGCAAAATTGTAGGATGTAATATAAAAATTTTAGAATTGCACTATTAAAATAAAAATTAGATGAATTACTTTCAAATGATATAATTTGATAGATTCCATAAAAAACTCAAAGATATTTTTTTTTCCAACCAAAATTAAGATTATCTAACCCACTATTTGGAGAATCGAATAGTTAACACAAACAAAAACACTTTGTATAACCAACAATACAATTTACCACACCTTTTAAGTTTTATATTTGTTATTAGTGCTCATTTCATTTCTTCTGAGTCTTTCTATCCTAGTCCCACATCCATGATGGAATTTTTGTTGGGTATTTGTATAACGTTTTTAATGACTGATATCCTACTCCCACGTCCATGATGAAATTTTTGTTGGGTATTTGTATAACGTTATTAATGACTAATAGAAATTCTATAAGAAATTAACACCCCACCTCTCAAATTATATATGTTATTTTCTATTAGTGATAAATTTATCGAAAAGTCTCTAGAAAATATCAGAATTTTAGAAATTTATGGTTTCGTATCGAAAATTTCGATAAAATATTGAAATTTTCGTTTAATTTACTATTTTTTAGTGTGCATATGCATGTAATTGGAAATTTTAAATTTCTAATACCGTAAATTTGAAATTTCTGGTAACTGTCTTTCTTATATGTATCGGAAATTTTGAAATTTTTCGGTAGGTGCAAAAAATCTGGAAATTTCCAATTTTCGGTGGTACTGTTAGTTGGCTTTCTCAATTTTTAACTTTTACTTGAATAATTTATACAGTAAATTAATTAACCGACTTAATATATAAATAGAATAATTGTCATACATATTTGTACCGAAAAAACTACAATCATTTCTTACAAAAATCTTCCCAATGCCTGAAGCGACCCGCATATGCTGATTCCCATGCTTTTGCATCATTAGAACAATTTTGTTTCCAACGAGCAGTGACAGAAAGCAATGGACAATCGGGTTTCAACTTTATCTGAATCCTATGATTATCGTTGACAAAACCAACAATAATGATTATATGTTGATTCGTGTATATGGGTGGAGCTATGATAAGTAGGAAAAATGTGATGTTAAATCTCATGAAAAGGGAAACAAATACGACATTGTATTTAGAAGTAATAGAGTAACCCATATCAGGAATCAGCATCCATTTTTTCATGTCCTACATACCCAAGTGTTCTACTTGTAATGTATTCCTAACCGTAGAAACAGTATCATAGAACAAATTGGAAAATAATTTAGCGTGTTGATGGACTTGAGTATATAACTGTTTCCGAACCAAAGGCCATGAACCTTTCCCCCATCCTAATAAAGATGAAATACAACGGAAACCATAGTTTCCATCATCCTCAAGATTAATAATGACATCGATGTATGGGTGAAAGAAAGCAGGAAACTGTGACAGGAACTCAGCTCTTGAAGATTTGGTAGAAGGCTGTTTACCAATCGACATGCTTGACGATTGACTTTTAATTGGTTTTGTGCACGATCTCTTCGTAGTCTGGATCCTCCGCGAAGCCTCAGCATATTTCCACTGGCTAGGATCACGATGCACATCATTCTCCTCACCATTTTTACTCTTAACTCCCCTCTTTGATCTGTACTTCACCGGCGGTGGATACATTGAAATTGTGGATGAATAGGTTAGATCACGTATTTTTTTCTTCAACACCCTCTGACCTATAATATCCAAAGTACTGAAATATTTCTTCAACTCTTCACACTCTTCTTCTAGATCCCACTTACTCTCTTCAGGACTCACATCATGTTCTGAAATGTGCAATTTCGTCAAAAATACATGAATTGATTCCAAAGGTATAGGGGTGCCTAAAATTTGAAAACCGACAAGTTGACACGCACACGGTACCCCATGTGTTATTATAATGAAACAATCGCACCTCTTCTTGCTTGAACCAACAAATTTTACTCTTTCTAGTTCCTTCCCAATGAGTTGTATACATTGTCTTGAGACAAAACCATGCAACTTAGCATAGAATGGAGTGTTATACCGATGCTCAATGTTGACAGTACTTTTTTGAAACGACACTCTGATGGAACCTAGTTTCAACTTCAACATGGTGTTCACAGCATCCCAACTTTGACATAAATCACCACGAGATGTAGTCAACAAGTTTTTTAGTCTCCAATGTGCAGACTTCACCCTAAAATCCATAAATATAATAACATGTTTCAAATTAATATCGAAATATAAACATATATAATAATGACATTAAACTGTCACGATCCGAGTACCTGGTTATTGTTGTGTTCCCTAAATGAGTGACTCTAATAGTCCATGCAGCAACAAATCTTTTTTTATATGGTGTTAACCATGTTTCATTCACATACTTCACAAATAATGGAATATCACCACAAACACTCTCGAAGTGCTTGAAATGTACATCAAACTCATCTTCTATATTTGAATACATGATGTTCCATTGATCCATGACATGTTCTTGTCTTTCATATTTCACGTACTCTTTACATTTCATGCTGACGTTTTTTGAAATATGGACCGTAGATAACATATGAGTTGCATTTGGAAACACGAAATTCATGGCATTCATTAATGCAAATTCCTGGTCCGTCACCATAACATTCGGAAGCAATTTCTCTAAATAGAACAACTCTTTGAGCTTCAGTAGTGCCCATATATAGTTCTCCTCTCTTTCATGTTCCAAATAAACAAAGACAACTGAAAACGTCAATTTTGTTGATGTAACACCAACAATCTCCAACAGTGGTAGTTGATACCTGCACGATTAAAAGTCAACCAGCTCACTCAAGATAATTTAGGATGCCAAAAGTAAAGTTATTACATATTTGTCTTGTATGTGCAATTAAAAATCAACACCAGATAAAACATATTCAACAACTTCACAGAATCAGGATGTGCCCAGAAGATAACTACAATATATGAGTTCTTCCTATTTCTAGTCCAACACATGTATTTATCTTGGTGAATAAGACTCAATAACATTTACATCTCAGTCATTTCACATCTCTTGGTCAATATGTATATTGCTCTAGCTCTATGTATCTGGGTAATACTCGTGAGGTTTTCTGGATCTTTGTCTTTCAAAGCAGAAATGATGTACCTTGGTGCTATATTGTACTTCGTCATGTCATTCACAAACTTTTTTTCATGATCTTTTAGACGTCCTAATATTTCATGGCCGTCCAAGCCCTTATCTAGTCTATGATTATGCATCCCGCATCTAACCATCACCTTCCAACCAATACCACTTGGAACAGATCTCAGCCTAAAGGGGCATTTAACTTTCATAGTATAGATGCCATCAGAGGTGGACCCATATTTCTTTTTTCTTTTGAAATTTCCTCCTCTATCACAACCAATAATCAATTTATCCTTCCTCCCACGTGTTCCATTAGTCGAATCGGAACGAATTGTAACAACAACAATACCATGCTTTTTACCAATAGACTGTCCATTCTAGAACTTTAGGTTGAGATTTAAAAATCTACCAATTACAACAACATATAATTAGTAAACTTCATCAATTTATTTAAGGTCGACAAACAAATAATAATGTGTAAATTCAATAGAAGACATATTGTATCTATGGTGAAGAACTGCGTAACATCAGTACATGAATTCGTAGAAGCTGAAGCTCTGGACCGCAAATGCATAAAATTTCATCTGCATGCATACCAGAAATTTCATACATAACTGAAATTTCCGATTACACGGAAATTTGAAATTTCCGGTGTTACGCTACCTTCCAGAAATTTGCGTAATTTCCGATTTATGCAATGGCTTCTGGAAATCGTATCGGAAATTTTGAAATTTCTGGATAATCGCACCCGGAAATTATGGAATTTCTGATTTTATGCAACCAGAAATTTGCGTAATGCAAAGTATTTCTGGTATACACCTAAATTGGGGTACCGGAAATTTGATCAGCGTACTGAAAATTTCGTTTTGATCCACTTTGATCAATAATAATAATAAATTGACAAATGTAAAAACCTTAGAGTAAATAGTAAAAAGAATATTTTAGAAATTGTGAAATATATGAGGGATTGACACGTATAATTGAGGGGTGAGATGTTCATTTCTCAAATTCTATAGCAATTAAAAGGCAATTAAAAGTTAAAACACATCTAATTATCTTCAAGTCTATCTTACTTTACATTATGGATGCTCTTACTTTACATTATGGATGCAGTTTCCTTCCCACAACGAAACCTGTTATAAAAATTGATGTAAATTATTTTCTAGTCTCTAACACCAAGTAACTGAAATAGCTTATCGGATACTATTGATTGTTGGAACCATCCACAACCCATAATGCAGCAGCAAAGCAATACATTACAATCAGAATGCCACACAATATCACGGAAAACAGCAGAGATGTGAAAATATAATTAACATATGTTCATCTGTTATGTACATTCATCTGAGCATTACAATCAAAATGCCACACACACAAACACAATTAATGTACATGTGAAATATCTAAAACAAACTTGCAGAAGAATATGCTCCTCTGATTATGTGCACTACCCAGTTTTGTATCGAATATCTTGCACATGAGCTATTTTTGGCCAATCCTCACCTGTTTCTTTTTGAAAGCATTTCCCTAACTCAGTGCAACCATAAACTTTCAAACTTTTAAGACGGGTAAGGCAATGAATGCTCGTAAGATAACACCTCAATTTCGAACACTTGCAAATTATTAATTCGTGCAGCAATTAAAGGGCAGTCAGGGAGGGATGTTAGGTTTGGGAGATCGCATAATATTAGTTATTAAAGGGCAGTCATATGTTGTAAAGCCTCATGTAAACCTTCTATTTCGGAGGAGCTCTCAATCATCAATTTCTCAAGACAAGTTAGGTACTGTAAATTTGCTGATAGAGTGAACTTTGGGCACCTCACAAAGTCTAAAGTCTTAAGAGAGTGCAATCCTTTTAATACTTCATCTGGCAATGATTTGAGGCTACTACAACCAGAAATATATATTTCTTAGGATGACATTAAGATTAACAATTTCATATGGTAGTTTCTCAAAGTTGGAGAGCTCAAAAATGTCCAGTATCTTCAAAGAAGCAAGTTTTTGTAGCATCCCATATGGAAAGGAAATTAGCTCTTCATTATCAGTGAATCGAATGGATTCAAGACTATGATATTGATGAATTGATTTTAGTAAACCTTGGTCGCATTTTCCTCGTACACACATATCATTCAAAGCAATTTAGGACAATTAGTTATTTGAAGTGCGGAAAGGAGTGGGAACATGTTTTGTCTATCCTCCCATGACAACCTTTTCAGGTTTTGAAGCTTCTCCAGCAACAAAAATTCTAGTGCTACGATACATCTCACAACTCTATCATTTGAATCATTGTCTATGTACATTATATGAATCATGTTGGATATTGTTAGCTTCTTTAGAGATGGTAGCTTCCCCAATTGTGGAAGGTGTAAACAACTCTTGCAATCCACAAGTTCTAAAGAATTCAAATGTTTGAGGCGGATTAGACATCTATGTTGGAAAAAGTTTACTTGTATATCTTTGCACACTCAAAGTTTGAAGTTGTTGGGTAAGAGGTTGAAGCACTTCAAGAATCTCCTCAACATTTTCTTGTAATTGGAACTCTTCATTTCTCTCCCACGACAATTGCAACTGCTTCACATGCTTTCTCGACATATTGGCTTTCCTGGATTCCATTACACTTTTTACTCTCTCTAGGTGTTTGATGTAAAGATCTCCTTTAAGGTTCAATTGTTCTAATTCATCCTTGGCAAATTGGCCACTGGTTGTAATAAATCCACACCACAATCTCCCTTGGCCGATATTTGACAACACTGCTGAAGAATTATGCCAAAAGCCAAAACTTATGCAAACAAAAAGGAAGAATGAAAAAGTGAAAAGTATGACAGAACTTATGCAAACAAAAAGGAAATGAAAAAGTGAAAAGTATGACAGACTCGGTAAAAGAGGCATCGACTAGAGCAAAAGAAGTCAAATATTACAAATTGGTGTATCAACAAAAGTCAATGCAGTTTGAATTTTCAATCCCTTTGTCTCATTCCAAGCATATTCTCATCACATGAAAAATTCAATATCAATAAAATCAAGGTAACACAGAAGAAGAAATGCACAACTTCAGTTCAACTTTAAGCTAACAGTACACCGGTGAACAACTAACCTCATGGAAACAAGAGAGGGGACATTCAACCCTCCACATAATGGTGTTTCCTTCATCGTCAACTTAATGCATGGAAGAATATGATGACTTTGCAACTTTTGAAGATCCAAACAGTAAGTTCATCCAAGTCTGCATTATCCAAACAGTAGTTTCATCCATGTCTGCATGGTTATAATTACTCACAAAAAATGTCATATAATCACCGATTTAGAGACTCATTAGAGTATTCGGTTTTTAAATCGGTCCCTGCAAGGACTGTTGACTGGCAAGACTTTGAGGAAATATTAATATATTATGAAAAAATTCAAGTAAAACATGCTAAATATCTGAAACACTTGGAAAACTCAAATAGGATCATCATATCTTAACTTTCATTTCTCATTTTGATCCAATCTCACTTTGTTTAAAAGTGTAGTCATAATGTTAAACTTAATACATAGCCCAGAAACAAGAACAGCATTTATCCTATAGATCTATTTGTGTACACGATCTTTTGAAGATGACACCAGAATAGTAATCCGGTATCCTTCCTACATATATATTTACCAAGCATTGGATTTCAGAGCCCACCAAAATTAAGCTAGAGACCACTTTCCAATATCGCAAGACGTTGTACTTCTAGAAGGCTAACCAAACTATTCCGATATTTAGAGATTTCTTTCATGTGGTTCAAGCCAAGGAAAACCCAAGAAATCAAACACTTCCCTTTCTGTATACAATTTCATATTTGCAGTACCTTTTGTGCCCTGCAAAATCAAGTGAATCAGAATATAATCGTTTTAATCTTTTTCGTAAATAAAAAAGGACATACCCGTTTTCCACCAGAACCCTGAATAGCTGGAAACAACCCTGTATCATCAAGCCTGAATCCTTTAGATTCTGCTTGCAGCCTCAACCTGCACCCAAACCCCCACAAGGAGGAAAAGCAACATAACTCACCAACTATAGATCATAAAGAAATCATTGAAATAGATATGTACATAAGATATTCCATTAAATTTGTAAGAGAACGTATGGTTACGGAAGCATCCGTTTTTTAAATGAGAAGCAGATGAAAATGCAATATTGGTAGCTTTTTAGGAAACATATCTATCTGGTTCTGCCATAATGACAATGAAAGTTCAGTGCAAAAGGAAGCAAGCATACCTCCTATTTAATACATCATTTCCAGTCCAAGCTACAAGTCCGAAAGCATATATGTCTCTTGGGTATACCTGCCAATACATTAATCCATCACATGCACTTCTGAAATGTCCATAAATAATAAGTCTGGATATAAAATTTGGCTAAGCAACAAACTACAACGAAAATATGAACAATAGAGTATCGCATTTACATTTTACCAAGGTATTCAATGGTTAATTGCTAAGTATTTGACAAAAGGAGAAAATTAAAAAACATTAGAAAAGTATGAATAATCTTCTGAAGTATCATATAAAAAAGTATGTGTTAGACCTTAGGAATTACTAGGAATCAAAACAGAATGTGGCTGTTCTATTCTTTAAGTTACAAGCATATGAGCATCCTTATTAAATGTTATCTTTAGCAGTTAGAGAGTCTAAGAGCACCATTAGTATTATTAGACTAACAATTATTACTACTAGGAGCAGTTACAAAACTTAGGTAGAATAAAAAGGGAAACAGAACCGTGTTTTGGGGAGGCTGAAAATTAGAAAGAGGTTATATTTGGGAGGGAGAGACCAAGCTCTCGAATTCTTTGAAGGGAGAGAACCAAGACTCTCGAATTTCTTGCAAACTTATGGTAATTACTATTAAATTTTATTGTTTGGTATCAGTTTCTATCAGTATGCAAGTACAACTCTATAACAATATTTAAAATACTATATATCTCAGAAGCAAGGAAAACTAAATAAGAACTTTTTTTAACTCCCAGCAGCCTCATCAGTCCTTCTATGAAGGAATACCATCTGTCACCTTTAAATCAATACGATGCCGCAACTCCCGTCCAGGATAAGTGCAAAAACCAAAGTATGTGTCAACACTAGAATCAGCGCCCTGTAGCATATATAGAAAGGTTACTGCAGAAACATCTACCAAAGTGACTTACACATAAAATACATGTTTTTAGATATAATTAATCATATTAAAATCAAAGGAAGATAAAGCTATGTAAAAAGAGGATGAATTTATGAGCTGCTTATAGAATAGAATGATGGTTATATCAGATTCATGCTGTACATTACAAATATTAGCAATTAATATTAGCAACTTTTAATATTTTACAATTGCAAGTTTTAAATCCAAGTACATGCTTATTTAGGATAATACCAATTAAGTACATGCGTAGTCAGCCAAATAAAATACCATGTGTAGACTAGAAGCAAAAGCCAACATTACCTCTTCACTGTGAGTACTGAAAATTAAATCCTCCCTCAGGAAATTCATATCCTTTAAACGCTTTACAAACTTGGGCAAAAATCCTTTGTGACTGGAACACATGAACAAATCTAGTTAGCCTCTCAGCATGAGGAAAAATATTACACAAGTAAAAGAGAAGTGTAGATTGAAATGCATACTTTCAGTTGCATACACTATAACTGCAGATTTCCCATGAATACAGTATATAAAAACCAAGCAGTACCTTGTTCCATCCGGATGTGTTATAATGATATCAATGTCCCCACAGGTAGCTTTCCCGCGTCGATATGATCCTCCACAAATAATGATAGCCTAAATGAATCAGAAGCAGAGTAACCAGGATTCAATGTAATGCTTCAATTCTAACTGAGGGGCAACAAATAAAAATACTTTTAAAAAAATTGGGGAAGAGAAAATTATTAACTATCCGTCCTCGTTGTTACAGCCTAGTGGTTCCTGCAAGTGTTTATTTTAGTATGTGTTGGCCAATAGGCCAATAGTAAAAAAAAATTAATTAATTATTAAAGTGGCACTAATGACCATTATTATTGTTCAAACTGCTATTTAGGAAGAAAATTTTGAAGTGCTCACCCCAGGTAAAATATCCTCCCCAACTTTCTGCAAAATTTGTTCCATCTCTTGAACCTATCAAATCAAAAAGAGAACAATGATTTTAGGTAAAATAAAACAAGTTCCTTTTTTGGGAAATAATAGCATATAAAAGGTACCACCGAACAGACCTCGTGGCGTGGAATTCGTTGCCTGATATCATCAAAGTATTTCAATCCTAACTTCTGTGCATTTGTAAGCGAATCATCATTCCTAAGATCGTCTAATGTACGATGTCCTTTGTCATACAATTTCAGTGCTGTGGCTGGACCAATACCCCATACTTCTCCAAATAAGGATATTGTTTGCACCTGTAGTTGAATCAAATCAGATAAGGCAGCAAGATTGCAATTAAAATGTCAAAAATATACAGGGAGTTACTATTTTATGGAATATATGCTATTTCCAATTATAATCGATCAACTAACCAATAAAAGAAAAATAACAGAACGCCAATCAGTAGGACAGTAAGTTATAAAATTAAATAAATATGATCAAAAGTGTTTAAAAAAGCCAAGTACTAAATACCTTTTCATCAGTTTCAAAGTGTTCCAATTTCGATAACTTCCCAGTAGTGATTATCTCCTGAATCTGAACACAGTAAAAACAATTGTTTGTAAACAAGATGCTCAATATGTACAAAGGAAAAGTCACATATGTCTTATTGAGGACAAATTCAGATGTTTGTATTAACAATGAAGAGTCATTCGCTAACAATGAATAAAGTCAATTTTAAAAAGCTGATAAAAGAAGTTAGTAATATTAAGAAGCATAATTGAACATTGGAATCCAGCTTTCTAAAAGTGGAAAGAATCATAGCTCACAGAAATTATCAGATTAGTATCCAAACAACGCATGCACTTTAGTTCTGCAAAATAATAACAGTGATAAGCCCCCCATGCACTAGATGTGGGGATTAGGCACTCCACCATAACCAAGTCCCCATCATAGCACTGCACCTAAGAGCACACATAACAGAGGCTTCACTGTTCAATGCTTCATTCAGCCTTTTTCAGGCCAGCTCCTACGTAGGTAGCCCTTTGTGAGACACCAGAAACTAGCCCCCGAAGCTAGGTTTCATGGGAGAATGACCAAGACACTTGCATAGTCCATCGAGCACCTCATAGTACTCAAGGATCATAATACCCAAGTCCCAACCAGACAACGAGGATCATAGGATAGCTAAATGTTATTATTACCTAAAGATGGATGACGTTTTCGCCGAGGAAGATCTTATAGGAGAGAAGAACAACAAAGCTATTAGCATTTATTCAGAAGCTTAAAATAAAATTTTCATTCAAACTTCCAGTACATAAGCAGTGTAAGAAGAAAGAGACCACCAAGTCAATACAGAATGTCTAGTCATAAATTCACTTACATGATCCCTCATTGATTTTCCAATTGACGGGAGGTTTTTTATCTGGTCTGCACTTTCAATTTTAAATGACAACTTCTCAATCACTGAAATAGCTTTGTAATAGCTAAAGGATCTCCGGTCGTCCCCCAATGCTTTCAAACATCATTAGCATGATAAACGACCCTTAGAATAACCAGAAACGAAAGAAGAAAACAGCAATATGTAGGAGTTATATTTATACCTCTATATATGTTCACAAGTTTCCCAAATATCTCTGTAATGTTCTTGTTTATATCCGGTGGACAGTACGGCAAGGACGACTGCTGTGAGCTCACCATGATAGATGAGTTTCAACAAGGCATAAAAATTAGAGTGTGAACTTAAAGATAACCAATATTTCATAAATGCATTATGCATGTGCTCCAAAGCCATTTACATTAATTTTCCTCCAATCTATTATCTATAACTAAACGCAATTAGACAGGACTAGATAAAGGGGTAACCCAATGCACGAGGCTCCCATTTTATGGGCTCTGGGTGGTCAGATGTACACAGCCTTACTCCTGTTTTTATAACAGAGAGGCTGTTTCCAGCAGGGTTCGAACCCATGACCCCAGGGTCGCAATTAGACAGAACTAGATATTGAGAAAATATTTCTGTTGTGTCAAAAGTTTATTCTATTCAAAGGATTCAGAAGAAATTTTTGGATGAAAAATATTTAAAGCGAATAATCATCAACTGTAGGAATGTGGATCTTACTGCCTCATTTTCAGCATCATGGTGTTGTGGTCTTCTCTCTGCACTATTTAAACTATCATTTTCACTGTGACTGTTTGTTGTGCTTGTTGATGAGAGTGGTGCATTTTCTTTTTTATCTTTGTTACTTTCAAGGTTTACAATTTCGGTATCCTCAGAAGATGATTTGATCTTCTTATTTTGTAATTTCTGAGGTTCACTAGAAATGCTCCCATCATTGATACCTTCCCCTTGAGGATCCAAATTCAGTACATACAGATCCTCTGATAATTTCTCCCCTGATTTCAAACATTCCTCCAGCCATTGATATTGGAGAAGTCTCTGCAGAAAGCATCATCGACCAATAAAATGAAAACATGTAAAAGCACATTCTTACCATAGAAATAGGAACTCACAATGTGCACTTGGAAGGTGATTGTTAACCAAAAGAAAATATTTGCATACCAACATGATTAAGCCATTCAAATCCTATCAATCAATTTCCATTTTGACGGTTTACAAATATACAGAACACATCAAATTGGGACCCTCCAACGTAGACGGCTAACATTATAATTTGAGTAGGCCTTAAAAAATTAACCTTCTAATCTACACCCAATGGTTCCCACTTGCTAACTGTGATTGCGACTGTAACTGCAAGCAACCGTCCCATATCTTGAAATTGACCATATATTTATAAAAAAAAATCACATTGGTCATCTAAAGATATAGACCATTTAAAATTGATCCTCAATAAATGGAAATGATGAAATGCAACTATATGTGTAGGGTCGGCATATTGTCAAACAGCTTACAGAGTGAAAGTTAGAGGTTAAAAAGCTGACCCCTTTAAAACGTAACAAGCGGTGGGTATCCAATTCATGTAGAAGGGTTTGTGAGTCGACGGCGAAAACATGAGTAACCCGTTTGGAGAAGCGCTCCTCTATCACAGCCCCCATTTGCATCATCCTCTGCTTCCAAATCTGTAATCGACGAGCTTGAACTCCTTTGGTGACAAAGAAGACAACCATTCCTTCAAACATTCCGTGAGGATCAGATTGTTCCTTCGCTGCAGGTTTTGTCTTTGGCGCCATTTTGATGCGTCTGTTTTCTTCATTCACTGCCGCCGCTTCTGGCAGAAGCCATGGATGTAACTACGATGTGAGTGTCGAGCCACGTGTCGACACGTAGATAAATATTATTATTTTAGTAACACCTAGATAAATTAAACATAAACTTTATGGGGAACTATTCTCTAATCTATCGAGGAAGAAAATAGTTACAAGGAAGTCAACAAATATTTTAGATTACGTTTCAATATTGTAAAATAAAAATGAAGTGGAACGCACTAATGAAATAAAAATTATATTTTATGTTTAAATATTTTACGATGGAATAAAACTATTATAACATTTCATTTTTATTTAAATTAATTGGTACAAAATATAATAGAAAGCTATGAAATAGAATAAAATGTGTTCTGGACTGGGTCCGCTCTGGCCCAAGAGCAAGAACGAATAACCAATCCAAACAACTCTTCAAGGAGCGCGCGTCCAAGGATTCCCGCCAGCGCGCTGACCAGAAACTGCAGTCGTGTCCGCCGTTGCCCGCGAACACGGCGTCCTCGACCACGCGAACTCCAGCTCGAGCCCAGCTCGAGCACCCTCCTCGTAGGGCAGACTCTGACCGTTACCAAATCACCTGAACTCTGGAAAAACCGCGTCCTCGTCCCTCCTCATTTCTCGCAGAGCATCACCAGGAAGGAGACCACGTGCGGGTCCCTATTACACACGTAGAACCTGACAGTTCCTTTATTGGGCCAGTTCTGGTCGGCTCAATGAAGGGACATTGGCCCCGCGCTGGGGGCTATAAATACCCTTTGTTCCTAGAGGGTCAGGTATTCATTCTCTTACCCATACATACACTTTTTGCCTGCTCGTACCATCACTCACTTTAGCATCAGAGTGCCTTGCAGGTACCCCCCCCCCATCTCACTTAACTTCTGCTCGGAGCCAGTCGTGACGGTCCAAGTCTGATCAGGTAAGATCAGTGGCGCCGTCTGTGGGAAACTAGCTTCCCCGTCTTGCAAAACCTCGAAGACCAAAGCTCGATATCACTCCCTACCGTCATGGCTGACCAAGTTCGGGATGACCAAAACATCCGCGTCGCCGACATCAACAACGGCCTCGCAGATAAAAACGGACCACCCGACAACACCAGTAACCCCGATCATAGCACATTCCCCGGGGGGCGCCAACCCCGGGCCCTCAGTCCACCGCGACGGAGTTATTGCCTCATCTTCTTCAGTCCCTCCGCCGCTTGAAGAAGACAACGCAGCTCCCACGAGCCACCGAGCTGCCCAATTTCAGGAAGTCCATGTCCCCGCCGGGGCAGATGCCACAACCCGCACACTATTCGCGGCGATTGTGATCGGTGGATCTGGAACTGACTGTTTAACGCTGGTTCGCGAAATGTCGCGGAAGCAAGAGTCGCCACCGTCTTTTATTTTCTCCAAATGGAAAGGACAAAAGCACAGAAAAATTCCTTATAGAGATTGCTCTCGGTTCGGGAGGTAGATTATAGAAAGGGAAGGTGTTAGCACCCTTTCTATCCATGGTTATCCATGGGCTCTTAGATACTTGCTCACTTGTGTTTTCAAAAACGGTTTATTTGCTTTTCAATGTGGGTTTTAAAAAGTTTCTTTGAAAATTCCAGTTCGACTCTTGTATCGGTCCTCAAGAGTGTTTGAAAAATTGCTTTCGAAAGCTTTTTGAAAAGTGTTGGTGTGAAAAGTATTTTGTTTGTTTTGAAATTAGAGCAAGTATCTAGAGTCGTCTACCTACCCTAAGGAATTCGTCTGTGTAAATGTCCTTTAAGGTAGTGCCATCCCACCATTGAGAGGTAGGTAGCACCACCATTGGAGGTGTTCGGGTCAATTCGAGGTTCGGGATATGGTGATCACCAGAGCAATGGGAAGACACCTTAGAAGCTACCCTCATGCCAGGTTCCCGGATCATGAGGACTTACTAAGACATCCTCTACTCGACGATCACCTTTCGAGGCAAGGCAACAGTGAGGCATACCCTAGGGGTGGTGTGTGCGATTTGTGTGTCGTTTTCATTTGCATTTTTCTTGTCATGTTATTGGTGTTCTACGCTTGCTTTTATTTTTTGTCCATACAGTCTTTCATGTTTTTGATTAACAGTTAAAATATTTGCGGGAAAGGTAAATTCTAAGCTATTACAAAAGGCGCGGGTCCACATCGCCAAAATTAACCAGAACCCGATTTGACAGAAAATAAATAAATTAAAAGAATTAAAAGCGCGAGAAGTAATTTACATGGCTTCGGGAGAGATACATGAATATTTAAACGAAATAAAATAACATGCGAATTAATAAAAATTAAATTGAAACGAGGGCGTTGGACCCTTTTTGCAAAATTAAAACTAATAATGAATTAAAAAAGAAAGGACTTGTTTTTGGTATTTTTTAGTATTTTAGGATTTAATATAAAAAGAATTAATTAAAATTAATACTAACCCTAATTCTAATGGCTTTTAACTTATTAAGAAAAATATTGAAGTTTTTAACCTAAATTAAATCCTAATTAATTTACAATTTTAATTATATAAATATTTAATTATTTAATATATTTATGAAAGAAAAATAAAAAGGATGAAAAATTATTAATTAAACCTATTTCTACATTTTTTAGATTTTATTATAAAAAGAATTAAAATTGCAAACCTAATTTAAAACTAAATAATTATATACAATTTATTTATGGAAAATATTAAGACAAAAATATTTATTGTATTTTCCCTTTTTTCTGATTTTTATTGGTATTTTATATTTTGTGAAAATAATAAAATTAATTACCAAAACAACAATTAAAAAGAAAAATAGAAAATAGAAAAAATAAAGAGAATAGGAAGAATTGCAAACCAAAGGGGGTTCAGGTCCCAAATTAGGAGGTATTCTTTAGAAATCCAGGCCCATTAAGACATTGGTCCGTTTGACTTTCCAGGTAGTGTGTTGCAGCGTTGACTGGACCTTATGTTGTTCCTCCAATCTGCACCCTTGGATTGCTTTAAACGTACGCGTGGCTGGCCTGATGAGGAGGTGTATCATGGTCTTCAGTAAGCGAAACTGCATGTGATGGTTAATAGAAAAATAACATTGAAATTATTGAAGACCTAGGGCTCGAACCCAGGTCATGAGGATTAACAACAACAACGCTTGCCACTGGACCAACTCATACGCATTTAATATTAAACAATCAACAAATATTATAAAAGAAATAAAAGCGTTAGTGGTTCAAAACGCGCGAAATTTAAACCTTCCAATCAGCGCCGGCCAACACATCATCTTCTTCATGTTCCTGAAATACAAACAACATAAGCAACGGTTTTTACACCGTTGCAGAAAGTATCTTTACAAAAAATAACGACTAGCACTAGGGCACTCATAAATTAGGCGCGATAGTTCCATTATCTTCGTCCACATGCGCTGAGTTGAATGGTGGTGGTCTTGAGGGCCAATTTTTCCTTGTTGCAAAAGCCCTAATTTCCAATCCTGTAAACCCTAGAAAACGAACATGGTACTTTGGCATATAACGCGTAAATCTTCAATTAAAGCACATGATTAGTTTGCAAACATCATTAGAAACATAAACATAACAACAAAATACGTTGAGAATGCATGAATGTTAGAAACCGATTCAAGATTTTTCTTCACCAATTTCCATGGTGATCTTACGTTTTCTTGAGTATGAGGCTTGGAGAATGATTGGAATGTGTCCTATGAACCTTCAGCAAGCTAATGGAAAGGAAATCTTGGCTTGAATCCCTTTAGAATTAGGTTTTCAGTTTTTCTTTTTCAAGCAAAAATTCCAAGTTCTTTTGATGCCTTTCTGCGCAGCTCTGTGGTTAGCATGATTAGGTTTATGTTTATGCTTATGTAATGGATCAATTAGGTTAACAAATTTGATCAGAATCTCTTGTATTCATGATTTTGAGATTTGATTTCCAAGCTTTATTTTTCAAATATTTTTCATGCAATTTTGTATCAATTAAGATCAATTCAATCCAAATCTTTCTATATTGAGTCATGCACGAAATCTTGAGGACAAAACATGCACAAAAAGATTAAAAAACTTAGGTTAGCATTTTTCATGTATTTATTTTAATTTAAATGAATTATTATTAATAAAAATCCAAATAAATAAATAAAAAATGAATAAAAACTTCCCTTTGGGCCAAGGGGTCGTGCACATGCCATGGATGGTGATTTGTGGAAGAAAAATGGGCCCATTAGCAATTTTAGGTCATTTGAATCAATGTTGACTTTTCAAAATATCCAAAAATTTCCCAACTTCCACAAGGCATAACTTGCTCAATTTTTAAGCTTTTCTCATGTTCTTGGACATTTTGGAAAGGTCTTTGAGTCCTCTAACCAATGCCTTTGGTCCCATGTCATTTTTATTTACCAATCTCAAGTTATGGCCTTTGACTTAAAGTCCCTTTTTGTTGACTTTTGAAAATGACCTATAATGTTGAAATCGATAACTTTTTGTGAGAGCATTTCTTGGACTTGAAGTATGAAGAGGAGTTGTAGGAAATGTCTTTCTCTTCAAAATGAGCTTTGGATGGAATTTTTCTGATAATCCATGTGAAAGTTATGCCCTAGTCAATTTCAGTTGACTTTTTCAGCTGTCCAAATAAGGAAACTTTTGCATTTTGATGATTTTTGAGCCAAGCTTTGAGAATCATGATCAAGCATTGATCAAATGATGTTTGTGGCTTCAAAATGATATGTTGACCAAAATTTTGAACTTTTTACTGCCAAATGACCATTTTGCCCCTACAGTTGACTGTAGTGCAATTAGGGTTTTTGACTGTGCAATTTTGTGCTGAAAGTCTTGAAACTTGATATGAGGATACTTGACCATATTTGTAGGCATGTGAGACTTGATTGGACCTTTGGAAACTTCATTTTCTTGATCAGAACAAAAACCCTAATCTTGACTGTATAGGAGACCTTTGCATTGTGCAACCCTTGGGGAATTTTGAAGCTTGTCTTGGCAAATCTTTGC